GAAATCAGAGGAAGTGGAACAAGGAAGTTTACAATAATGCCAGTTAAGACCCAGAGCAAACAAACACTTGTTGATTCGTTTTGTAGGACGAGCAGGTGGATCTAATGCGCCCCCTTGCCAGTAGAACCATTATAGACAAGTAGTGAGTTATAGCCAGTCCTAGTCCTACTTAGAGTAGACTCATCGGAACTTAAGGCAGGGCCCACTATGATGCTCACCAAGTGGGGTTGCCAGCTGAGCAGAGTGCCGCATGTTCTCGTGACTTCAGCAGAAGCAGAGCTCCTGTAAAAGACACCGGAGCATGGTCTAATTAGAAAGTTGGCAAATCCCACCTGCCTCCTTCAGGTGGCCGGCCAGCTCATCGACCTCAGTCGCTGTTTACTCCGCAAGTACCACCCGGGGCCCTTGGAAATTGGGGGAGGGAGACGCTACTAGCATCTCCAGGAAGAGCTGGGAAAGGCCCCTCGTGAAATCCAGAAGCCTTGTGTTTTACGACAGGCATTGCAGCATTTCAGAATGAGGAAAATGGTGGGTGATTAAGGGGAAAAGGGGGAGCCCAGGTTCGGCCCCTGGGGCTCAGGTTCAGCACATCTGATTTACAGCAGCTGTCAGTCATTCAGTAGAGTTGGACCTCAGCATCACAGGCCAGATGTAGCCCAACCAGCCTGTCAAGCTGTCCTCCAGGCTCCTTCCGACGAACATGTTACTCCTTCGCATCCCCTTTTCCCCCGAGCACCCATCATTTCCCCCATTCTGGAAGCTTGAGATGAGATGAACTAAAATTCATGGCTATCTTTAGCCTCCCTCCTTCGGCCCCTCCCACCACTGAACCAGAGCCTCCAAGAGCTCCAAAATGCTGTTTGTCCCTCCAGATGAAGGTGGGCCAAAACTCTTGGCGTAGTCAATACTGAAGAAGGTGGGCTAGTGGTCCCAGTTGATATGAGGCAGATTGCTTTGCTCCTAATCTATTTGTGTTCATTTATTACATCGTTCTGTTGCCTTGCTTCCATCAGAGAACTCCAGGCACCAGTGTGGGGTCCAAGGAGGCCTTGCTTCTGGTCCCTGGTCAACCCCAGAGCCCCTTAGCTTGGATGGAGAAGGGCACTCCCTTCCTATGCCTCCGAGACCATGGCCTTTTGAATCAGAGGCCTTTGACAGCCTGGAGGGAGGCCTGGGTTGTGAGACAAGACGCCGTCTCTTTGTCCCTTTAGGAGCTTGAATTGGTGGAGGACGTCTGGCGAGGAGAAGCCCAGGATCTCCTCACTCAGATCGCGCAGCTCCAGGAGGAGAATAAGCAGCTGATGACCAACCTCTCCCACAAAGACGTGAACTTCTTGGAAGAAGAGTTCCAGAAGCATGAAGGCAAGTGTGGGCTTCTTGGCAGCTGTCTGTGGGTTTACTTTTGAACTTCTGGGGAGTGGGAGGTGATGGCTTGCACCTTCCTTCTCTCTGGGTCCCCACTCCCAGCAGCAAATCCCTGAACAACTTGTGCAGTGGAGGAATTAATGGCACACCGACAGCTCTTTTTGCAAGCCACCCACCGGGCCTCGTATTTCTCATCTAACTATTTTTATATGAAACAACCTTCTTGCGAAGTGGTGGGTGTCGCATCTGCCTTTTCATTCCGCCAGGAGGTACAGAGGGTTAGAACGGAACATCCGCAGTGCCGCTTGTTTCCCCTTCTCCCCTCTCGGGATTCTCTCGCACATTATCATTATAACCCATTATAATTTGAGAAGAAAAGGGGTCCATGCAATATTTTCTTCGATTTTATGCCCTGCTCCATCTGCACACACCCCAAAACTGACCTTCAATACAGCTGCTGGTAATAAGACCATGATTAAAAGAAACATGGCTAAAATGGTGATAAATTAGACTAAAAACAAACAAGAACTAGCAGAAATAAAAGCAGAACTCAGGCCAATAGAACTCAGTGTGGCTACAGACCAACATAGAGTGCAATATGTATACAAAAATATATACATATCTACCCAGAAGTAAGGCTTCCTGGCTTTGGTAGGGCTTATTCCTGGGTATTTGTGATGAGATTACCCCAAAATGACATTCTAATAAAAGCTTAAGGCTGCTACCATACAGTCAAAAAAATCGCTTGGGTTTTAATTTCCAGAGGCATAACCAAGCCTCAGTCTGCAGTAGCGAACCAACGCGTCTTGTGGCACCATGAGGACTAACACATTGATTATGGCGCTCATCTCCAAACTGGTACCCTCCAGAACCCTCAAACCGCCTTACCATTGGCCTTGCTGGCTGAGGTTGCTAGCAGCTGTATCCCAAAACATCTGGCAGGTACCAAGTTGGAGATGAGTGCCATAATCCATGTGTATATCATTTCTTTGGATATAGGAAGAATTATGGAGATCTTGAGTCATATATGAAGGTACATGAAGGTACTTCGTGTACCTTCATATATATAAAGTACATATTCATGCACACGAAGGTATATTTTTAAACTCAGATCCGAGGAAACCAAAATGCAGAAAGTACAACAGACATTGATAATCCTCTTATTTATGTTGGCCATTCATAAAGCAGTTGTTGGGTGATAAAACAGACATGGCTTTGTTGGTGAGCTGATTAACCCATGTGCGAGGCTTCTGACCTCTGCAACACACACACACACACACACTTAGAAAGGGCTTAGAATAAAAACAGTGCCTGACCCACTGAACACAACTGGACTTTCTTCTGAGTAAACATATATAGGATCAGGCTGCAGAGCACCGACCAACCCGGCCATCTACGTTCCCCTACAGATAATTCTGACTGAAGTCTGTACATGAATTAGGATGCGATCCTATACATGTTTAGGCAGGAAGAAGAACCTGCAATTCCCTAACATGCTTCATGCTACCTTGGGTCGTAAGACTCAGTTTTGTTTAATCTTGCCCAAGAGCGCAGCCTTCACTGCTGTGCTGTTATAAACAGGATTCTGTTGGGGGAACTGCATTCACTGGAACACCGCCTTTTACGGCCCGGCACGCATGCCCACATTTAGAGTCCATTAGAGCGCTGTGTAGATATGTGCAAATATTGCCGAAGTGGGGAGGTTTGAAGAACTTTTGCTGGGAAAGGCAAATGAACAAACCAGCTGAACAGGACTGTTGAGAGTCACAGCAGAAGCTTAGGAAGTGGCCAGCAGGTAAACCAGAGAGATGATTTGCCCTAGAGGGCTTGTATAAACACAGGTGCTTCTGAGCATCCTTTTGATGTGGTTGGAAGACTTACACACCTGGATAGAGTCCTTCATATCCACCTCTTCTTAGCAGGACTGCCCTAAGAGGATATTCTCTTTCTGAGATGCTGAGCACTGCCTCCCTGACCCAGTTGGAAACTTCAGGCCTGGGTAGTTCTCTTTGTTCTGTTCTTTTAATACTCAAATTCCCATTGTTTCTAAACAGCCACCCTTGATTTGGTCTAGGAAATCCTTGTTGGATGTTTTAGAAAGGGATTGAGAATCAGTCACCGCTCCTGGAAAAAAAACAGAACCAAATTGGGAACATGGGGAGGAAGGAAGGAAGAAAATTCTTGTCGCACAGAGCATGTAAAAATAGAGGGGGCTTCCTTTTGTTGGTGCCATTTTGGTTTCCTAAGGATTGGCACTTGGATAATGAGGTTTCCATTAGCATGTAGGATATTTTCTGTAGTCCAGTGTAGCAAGTAACCAAGAATCTCAGCTTAATTTAGCTTAAAGCTCTTACTGCCAGTAACTAAGCCTTGGGAGGGGGATTTTAACCTTTAGAACTGTAGCAAAGCCGGGAAAACACCAAATTCTTGTTGGTTTGGGGAAAGGGCCTTCATGTATTGGATTCCAGGATGGTTTTGTACCTAGCTGCAGAGTGACCCAGATTGAAATCCTGTACATCCTTACCTATGAGTATGTCTCATTAAACTCTGTGGATTTAGTTCTGAGTAGACAAACCCTGCACAGAGTTTGTGCTGTGGCTGAAGTAGGTTTGGGAATGTGACTGGATTATATGCCTTCGGATCATGCCCTTGAATATAGAGACTGGAGCAATGGAGGAGACGGTGAATCTGTTTTGGACAGGCAGAGTTTCTTTGCCTCAAAGATGTTCTGTGCTTTTGTTCCATACTGCCACGTTTTTTCTGGCAAGGGTGCTGTGCTGTGAATGGCTGTGTGACAGGCAGAAATTCATCAGGTGCAGTGTTTAACCCCAGGGGCCTGGTTCAGCTAAGACCTCTCACTTTTGATTTGAGGTTACTTAGGAATAAGCAAAATGTCTTGTGTCAAAGATGAGATTCAGTGCATTGAATGAAGAAGTGGAAAAGTAGTGAGGGGAAGTAGTGAGGAGATGCAGTGAGGAAATACAGTTGCCGGTTATCAGCAGACAAGTTAAAGCAAAGCTTGCAGATGTCCCCTTGAGGCCTCCCAAGGGACAAATCTCGCTCTGGCACACTAGTCATTTGGACACCTTGCGAGCTCCGTCTTCCAAGCAAAGCACCAAAGAACACCCTTGACACGGATCAGGCGCAGCTTCCCTTCCCTCCGCTGCAGAGCCCATCAGTGTCCCCAAGCCGGTCCCTTCCTGGGGGCAGGAGGAGGTCCAGCTGTCCCAGGTGTCTCCAGCAAACCGTCCTTATCTCAAGAACGAGATGGCGCCCAATCTATGGAATGCGCTCCCCAGAGAGGTCCGCCTGGCGCCGTCGTTATTTGTTTTTTGGCGCCAGGTGAAGACCTTTTTATTTAAGCGTCATTTTAATTGTTAACAATATCTGCTTTTTATCTGGCCAGGGCGACTTCTTTTATATTGTTATTTATTATTGTTAATTTTATATTGTTATTTTTGTATTTTATTGTGTTGTGAGCCGCCCCGAGGCTTCGGCAAGGGGCGGCATAGAAATGTTTTAATAAATAAATAAAATAATAAATAAATAACATAAATAAATAAACGAGGCAAGGCAGCCACAGGGCCTGGCAGCTGAGGATCTCACACCCGCTTAGCCCAACAAGGGGCTACACATTCCCATCACAGTATCTTCCGGTTCTGGATCCCAATACATGCCAACTTTCTCAAAGACCCTCCGGTGGAAGGAACAAACCTGCTGAATTTCTGCCTGTTGTGTGATTAAAGGTGTCGGAGCCTGCCAGATGAACTGGGTATTCTCAGCCATCCCAGGTGTTCATATAGAAGGAGTGATGTAGCAACCGGTTCCTGCTGTCACCGGCTGTTTCTCTCTCATTTTTTATACCAGGAATGTCAGAACGGGAAAGACAAGTAATGAAAAAACTGAAGGAAGTCGTTGATAAGCAAAGGGATGAAATCAGAGCAAAGGACAGAGAACTTGGACTTAAAAATGAGGATGTTGAAGCAGTGAGTATCTTTTTCTCCCCCTTTGGGAGAGATGCGGAAGCAGTGTGAAGCAACAGTTAAGATCAAGGCCTAATCCCTAAATCCATTTTGTTTCGGGGAGGAGGAGGCAGGATCCGTGTCCCTTGGCTGGTGGCTGTGCCAGCAGAGAATGGACACATTCTCCAAATGGCAGCATAACTGGTTGTTCCCCTAGGCACAGCCTGGCCATGGGGCATCCCCATAGATGGAGGGGTCTGCCCATTCCACTCTGCTGAGGGGCAGCTGCCCCATCGTGGGGAGGGGGAAGAAATTCCAGGCCTCTGTCTCTTGGCTTGCTGATGCCCTTCACCTTCGAACTGTATGGCTTGTGTGTATTTGCTGCTCGCAGATGCCTTGCCTTTAGTAACTAAAGAATTTCCCACAGTTGCAACCATATGGTCATACTAAAATTAATTAGCACATTAAAAAGTCAAAATAACCCCTTGGTGTGCACCCTTAGGATCCTGTCAGCATGGATGCTGAGCTTTAGATGGCTAGGTTTCTTGATCTTGAGGCCATGACACAGATGGATGGACGGATGCCTGTCCTTTTGTTACATGTGAAATAGAAATTGTTTTGCATTTGAATGCTTTATAATTGGATGGTGCTGATTTATCACTTTCTTCCTTTGCTCCGCTTTCTCTCGTACGCATCCTCTCGCAGCTTCAGCAGCAGCAAAACAGACTAATGAAAATTAACCATGACCTTCGCCACAGAATAACCGTTGTGGAAGCTCAAGGGAAAGCCCTGATCGAGCAGAAAGTCGAGTTAGAGGCGTATCTACAGACCAAGGAGCAGGAGATGGGAGCATTGAGGACTGAGCTGGGGAAGCTCAGAGAGAAAGTGCAGGGAGAACCTAGCCAAAACGGAGAAGACATTCAGGTAGGTGGAGCTTTGTTACCTGTACATTGATTTTGGTTTGGTTCGGCTCGGTTTGGGTTTATTGAATTGGTGCCCCTATTCCTACAAGCGACTCGGAGTAGGCGCCACGATCGGGCACCGTGAAGCGGTTCCCTCAGCCACAGAGGTGTGTGTCTCGCAGCGTCTGCCATGCCCCCTCCGTTAGCCTGCGACCTTCAAGTTCAGTGCAGAACATTTTCCCATCATTCGGGTGCAGGAACACATCGTCTGCCCGTCCAGTCAGCCTTTGCCCCCGGAATGGGACGGGGCGTCATCCTGTCTGTGGCCAGCTTGTAATCTTACCTCTCGCCCCCTCCAATCCATTTTGTCTCCAGGCGGGTTAGTCTGGGAGAGCAAAAGGTTGCCCGGTGGGCTGGTGGCCCCTTGCAGCCCCTGAGGCAAGAGGAGAAGCCGAGCGCCTTTCCCTTTTCCTCTGTTCCGCCTTGCGCGTTGCTTTTGCCACCGCACTTTTTGCCGCGGTGCGATCAGCAACAGCGTGGAGGCTCTTGGGACTCCTGGGGCCACCTTGGCCGCCCCGCCACTCTTGCAGAAAGGGGTCCTCCCTCAGCGTGAGGCGCTGTGGGAGAGGTGGCCCTGAGGGTCCCGTGCCGTTGCCACTTTCCCACAGTGCTGGCAGGGCGGAGGGTGGGCACTGCTCAGAGCAAGGGATTCAGATGAGCTGGGACGAGGGGCTCCTTCTCCCAGTGCTGGCCCTCCATGCTGAGCGCAGCATGGAACCCCTTTAAAGCTGGGGCGGACGAAAGCAGTGGCGTGGCCGTGCTCAGCGTTGCCACAGGGCCCACGAAGGTCTCCAGGGAGACGGGCAACTGGCCTCCCATCCGGTGGATGCAGCAGCTTCTGGATACACGGTCCTGCATGCATCTGGGCGTCCACTTCGGGAATCAGAGTGCTGAACTGGATGGATGGAAGAACCCACAGGCGCTATTTTAGGACTGGAGTTGGCTGCATCTCAGTGGATAAACCGGAATGTGTACCCTGGGCCAGAATTGTGCCTTGGGCACCCCTCCCCCAACCACCCTTGCAATGCAATTTTTGGTTTTCAAATAGATGAGCTCATTTGATATTCCGAACCTTCTGCGCTGCTGGGCGATTAGGACTGGGAAGCATGTCTGCCTTTCTTATTTACGTCTGGGCCTTGCAGAAATTGGCATTGAACTCAGTTGTTACTAGCCAGTGGAAGCTTAGGGTAGAAAATCAAAAGTAAAAGTTTGAACTGCTGGAGACCACAAAGTGTGGACCATGATCTTTCAGGATATTGTGGGAGATGGAAAATAAATACAGCCACTTCAGCACAAAATGCAGAGTTTCCTCCATTCTCCCAAATCTAAATTCTTCAGCCAGACTCCTCAAATTCTGATTGCAGAACATTTGACAACACTTTAGGTATCTATGTGTTCTGCTTCAGTGTTTCCTATGTTCAGACTGATTATTTGTTTTGCTAAGAAGGAAGCAGGTGATGATCAGGGCTGGCTTCAGAAGTAGCTTCAGTGTGAGGATGAAGCCAAGGAACTTGCTCTTTAAAAAATAAACATTTAAATTTAAACCACAAACTCTGTGTGCTTGAAGGATTCCTTCCCAGGGCCAAGACTATGATTTTTTTCCTAATAATTTTGGGGTTGGTCATTTTATCCCTGTGGACAGGAAACTAGAGAAACTCTGTTTTCCAAAAAGAAATGGGTCAGTTTATAATCGTGCGGTCCAGTTTATGGTTCAGTTTATATTATAAGGGAATCTTTCACAGGTAACAGTTGCATTGGTTGCATGATACTAGTTAAAAGTGACACTGGATAGAACCCTTATGATCATTTTTGGGAGGGGGGTCTTTTGTTACTGTATGGTTATTGTTTTTAAAACAAGCCTCTAGCTCTCAAGGTTACAGAGCTGGGTTTGAAAAAGAAAACAATGCCTAGTGAATGGGAAGAAAGTGAGGGAGCTGGAGAGCAAGCAGCATTTCCTGAATTTTGTGGGAAGGGGAGCAGGGCATTTTC